CCACGCGCGTCCTTCTCATCCCGCTCCCATCGTCGGGATTTATCAGCAATTTCGCGAACATTTGGTCCTTCGAGCCGGATGCGTGGAAATTAAAGTGTAACTCAGAGCATGCCCTTCACGCCATGCCACGTGGACATTATCGCGCGCTTTCGCGAGTGAAGGACAGACATTCTCACGCGCGCTCGCGAGTGTTACGAAAATATGTTCACGCGTTCCCGCGAGTGTAAATAGACATTTTCCCGTGCTCAATACATGACATTGTAGACTCACGATTCGCGTAGTGTTGTTCTATCGCGCTTCTAGAACGTTTTCGCCTCTTGCAGTGTTTCTCATACGTGTCTCGACATTTCTCAGGTCTCTCATCGGGCGCAGCTCATTGACGTCTCATCATGCCGGATCCCGCAAAAGCCACGACGGGCGGCAAGACCCCGCCATTGCTCGTGTTGCCGGACGACAAGCGCACTTCAGATCGCCAGGCCTCACCGGTGCGTTTGTCTGCTGAATTCACCTTAAAGGTGAAGACTTTACCATCGTCTGTAGAGGACACGTCTGTGGATGAGATTCTACAGATCTCGATTCAACTCGAGGAGGTGCACAAGGCGTTCCTCAAGGAACACGCCTACTTCGAGGTCTCATGGCCGGCGGCGCTCGTCGAACATGAATATTTCTCCAACGACGCCTTCGCCGTGGAGGCGGAGAAGTGTATGACGGCTCGTCGCGCTCTGGCAAAGCTCAAGGGCGCATTGGCGGAAAAGATCGCTCCGACGACAGCTCCTGTAGCGGCGCAGCCCTCACAATCTCAGCAGAGATTGCCGGATATTAGCATCCCGTCCTTCAAGGGCGTGTACGAGGCATGGCCTACGTATCGCGATCTCTTCAAGGCGGTTATTTATGACACAGGCGGTTATTTATGGACAGCCAACGGCTCACCGATGTGGAGAAACTCCACTATTTGCGGCTCTCACTAGAAGGCACGCCTGCTCAGCTCATCTCCGGATTGCCTCTCACCGCCGACTCGCTCAAACCATCCTGGGAGATGCTCGTCGATCGCTACGAGAACAAACGTCTGCTCATCCAATCATATCTGGATCAGCTCTTTGCCAGCTCAACATCGGTGCAGAAGAACGCCGCGGCACTGGACAAGCTGCTCAACACTTTCAAGGAGGGCATCAAGGGCCTCCAATCCTTGGGCGTATCACAGGATCTGGGCGACTGCGTACTGGTGTACCAGTTGTCTAGACAGCTGGATCGCCAAACCAAGGAGCAGTGGGAGACGTCGTTGGGCGCCGCGCGCGAGTACCCGCGATTCGAGAAACTCGAGCAATTTCTCACCTCGCGAGCACGAGCACTCGAGAGAATCGAGTCAACGACCAGCTCAGGAAGCTCGGCAGGGGCTGCCTCGACCGCGCGGCGCTCCTCGACGGCTCATCATACGGCAGCTCAACCGGCACGCACCACTACCTCAGACGGCTCAAATGAGTATCCGTGCGACTGCTGCAATGGCACGCATTTTGTAGTGACGTGCCCTAAATTCAGGGAACTTGCACCGGGCGATCGACAAAAACTAGTCATCTCACGGAGGCTGTGCTTCAACTGCCTCGGCCGTCACAACGTTTGCTCATGCAAGAGCTCACGGGGGTGCAAGAAATGCACTCACCGACATCATACGATGCTGCATGAGGCACATCAGAGCGACTCATCCTCGAAGCCAACCACCAGCTCAGCCTCAGCACCCCAGTAGGACAACGGTGCAATCGTCGCTCAATCATCTTTGGCTCGCTCATCCCACTCAACATTACTCGCTACGGCCCTGACTCAGATCAGCTCATCGGTTAATACTCAGCACGTACGGCTTCTCATCGATACAGGTTCTGAACTTACCTTTGTCTCAGAATCGCTCATCCGTCAGCTCAGCATTCCTCGTCATCATTCTGTCATTCTCATCACCGGAATTGGTGGCGGAAAGGCCACGCAAACTCGAGGAGTTGCACCCCTCAAGCTCCGCTCACTTCGCTCCAGATCAGACGTCACCATTCAAGCTCACATCCTGCAGACGTTAACAAACATCCTGCCATCATTCAACGCTGCACCACAGGAATGGCCGCATATCTCCAAGTTAGCCTTGGCTGACCCAGATTTTCTGACACCACGGCCAGTGGATATTATCATTGGAGCTGACTCATATGGGCAGATCATCAAGCCTAACATCATCAAACGGGATACATTGGTGCCAATTGCGCAGCTCTCAATTTTCGGATGGCTCGTTCTCGGACCTGTCGACACATCATCATCGGCATCTGTTGCAGTGCATCATGCATCGATTCAGGAGAGGGAAGATGCTCTCGATGAGTTACTGTCGAGATTTTGGACACAGGAAGAAGTGCCTGCGAGCAACAATCCTGAGCTTACTCCTGACGAGCAAAGATGTGAAGAACATTTCAAGAGTACTGTATCACGGGATTCAACAGGTCGATACACAGTTCGACTTCCACTAAAATCATCACCTGATACTCTTGGCGATTCGTATCTCACTGCGCATCGATGTTTGCAAAGTCTACAAAGGAGACTCTCTCGAGATGAAAACTATCGACGTCTGTATCATCAATTTATGACAGAATATTGAGATCTCAACTACATGAAGAAAGCTTCACCCGTTCCCAGTCAGCAAACGCAATATTATTTGCCACATCACGGAGTGCTCAAACCAGACAGTGCAACTACGAAATTACGTGTGGTATTCAATGGCTCGAGCGCATCCACATCTGGCCGCTCACTGAATGATATCATGCACACGGGAGCCAAGTTGCATTTAGACGTCACCGACGTCTTGCTCTGGATTCGACAATTTCGACACCTAGTTGCCACGGACATCACCAAGATGTACAGACAGATCAACGTGCATGAAGATGATTGGAACTTACAACGGATTCTCTGGCTCGACGAACTGCTCAATGAAGTGGCCTATTATCTAACCACGGTCACGTATGGAACCAAGGCTGCCCCGTTCTTGGTAGTACGAACGCTGCTGCAACTGGTGGAGGACGAAAGCCATAATTTTCCCCTTGCAGTGCCGTCCATCCTTCAAGGTCGATACGTCGACGACAGCTTTGGAGGCGCTGACACTGTCCAACAGTTAATCAAAATTGCATTGCAGCTGAAGAACTTGTGCATGGCGGGCTGTTTTCCCTTAGCCAAGTGGCACGCGACTCATCCAGACGTGCTCACTACGGTTCAAGCAGAGAAAGACCAGGGCTCCCAAATTACATTTGACGATTGCGCAACCAAGATACTCGGATTACGATGGCTTCCTCAAGAAAATTCATTCGCATTCGCAACAAGGATCTCGTCGCATACCGATCATCTCACCAAACGCCTCGTTTTGTCTGAAGTGGCTCAGATATTCGATCCACTAGGCTTTGCATCACCAATCGTGATCAAGGCGAAGATGCTCTTGCAGGAGCTTTGGCTTCATAAGCTCCAATGGGATGAACCACTGCCATCCCAGCTCTCATCACGGTGGCTCATCATCAGAAAGGAACTCACCAGCTTGCGCAAGATCTCAATACCTCGGTGGTATAACACATGGAGTACATCGACAGTGGAATTTCACGGCTTTTCTGATGCTTCTCAACTGGCAATGGCTGCAGTCGTATTTATCACCGTCCACGGCTCAAATGGTACCACGATTTCATTGGTGTGCTCCAAAACAAAGGTAGCACCGCTCAAGCGGCTCACCATCCCGAGACTTGAACTCACCGCAGCGCTGCTGCTCTCAAGACTCATGCAATACGTTCAAGCCACATTGAAGTTGAACGTCACAGCAACTCACCTGTGGACGGACTCTGTTGTGACACTCACGTGGATCAAATCTCATGCATCGCGCTGGAAGGATTTCGTGAGAAATCGAGTTTCACAAATCCAAGAGCTCACTGCGAACGCACATTGGAAATACGTACCAGGTACGTCCAACCCAGCCGACTGCGCATCACGAGGATTAAGTACTGCTCAACTCCAAAGCCACTCATTATGGTGGACGGGACCACCGTGGATACTCACCCCTGAAGCTTGGCCATCACAACCCACGCTGTCGGAGGAGTTGAGCACTCATGAGGCTCGTCCTGGCATTGCGCTACATGCGGCCGCATCTCAACCGGACTATCACTGGGACCTGATATATAGGTACTCAACACTCAACAAGTTATTGAAAATAACAGCTCTTTGTTTCAGATTCATATCGCTTCTGGGAAAGCGCCGACGCAAGCCACTGGACTTGCACTCAGCTTTGGAGGAGGCCAGATTCTTCTAGATTAAGGCTACTCAAACGGCATACTTCACGCACGAGATCAAGATGCTCACGGCCAACTCGAGACTACCAACTGCTCACGCATTCAGTCGGTTGACTGCGTATATAGACGCTAAAGGGATCATCCGAGTTTGCGGCCGCCTCAACCAATCAGCGCTATCTCAAGACAACAAACATCAAGCAATTTTGCCTCGCCACGCACGGTTTTTCGATAAGGACGGTATTTCACACTAGGACGGTTCGTCAACGCATCTTGTCTCAAAAGGGTATAATATATCCCCCATGGTTGCACGAATCAAATTATACTCGATGTTTAAGATTGCTTAAACGTTTATAACGATAGCAAAGTCAAAAATATAAATTAGCATTTCAGCACGGCAATTGCGAGCACCGAGACTTGAGCATTATCGCCGTGACTTTCGACGTGACGACCAAATGAGTAAACAGTGGAAACAAGGCATTCTTTGTTCGCTTTGTTTCCTCTGTTTATAATTGTCGATCGCGCATCTCTCGGGGACTTCTCTCGGTGAGGCTGCAACCGGACGGTACTATTGGAGGCACGAATCAACGCTACGTGTCCTTATAAATCAACGGTCGCCACTCGGTTTGACCTTTGAACCACCGAGAAGGTAAGTATCGAACGATCTCTCTAATTATTAATCAGACTAATTAATCTTCTTTTTTCAGGTTCCTGCCACCGCTGGATCATCGCCGTCGTCAATCAGGATCGTCGCTGCCACCGGAATCCAGGATCAACGAGGGACTTCGAGTGATCGACACCAATGGATCAGGTAAGTAGAAGGTAAGTCCAATTTAATAAATTTTCGAAATCTTCTACGAAAAGGATGTTTAATTTATTCAATTATATTGATTTCCAGTGTTGGTTGTTCACAAAAATTCAAGTCACAAAAGATGTCGGACGCTCGTATACGTAGGCACACACGCCCCGTTTATCTACGACGCACGAAGTTATTTCGGTCTAAAAAGTCCGTTCGTCAATGTAAAGACGACAATTAACGCGTTCCGCGGGCGTTCCCGGTTGTTATGAATGTTGACGATTCGCAATTATCGCACTCGTGTAACGTTCGCGGTGACTTGGCGCGGCAACGACAGAGCGAGGCTTATTACGTGTTACACGCTCGAACATCCTCGAGAGACTGCCTCGAGTTGTTTGTCTCGTTCGAGCTCCCCACCATCGGTATCGTATATCCCTACACCGACGTCTATTCCGCTTTCTCTCGCCGCTAACTACGCATTAGACTCCGGTATTTTTCCACGCGGGTGTTTACGCCGTTTGCGCCGAACCCCGTGGAAATTTCCACGCGCATTGCGCTCGCGCGGTCGCTCCGTCTTGGCAACGGGGTAGCGGTTTTTCAACTCGACAAATTTCGCGCGGCCGCTGACGCCGACCTGTGCGCCAGGTCTATTACGATGTCTACAACTTCCATCCGGGC